AAAAAATAACTTCAAAGAAAAAATTTGAAGATAATACATGCGATGACTGCTCGGCAGTTGCACAAAAAGAGAACGAATTACGGAAAAATAACCGACGACCAAGACGTAGGCCGTCTTTTGCCGGTGGACAGTGGTTACCGCACAGCTGTTGCTTATAAGTCCACTGCCACCAACATAATAATAAAATTAATATCAGAATAATACGGAGTAAGTTAGAATGGGCAGGACACGCAGTTAGGAAGCAAGATTCAATGGTTCAAAGGGTACTCCAAGAAAACCCAAAGAGAAAAAGACCACTGGGTAGACCAAGGCTACGCTGGGAAGATGGAATTAAAAAAGATTTCCTAAGTGCTGGCGGAGCGGAATATGATCACATGGACTGGAAGGAAGTAGCGGAGAATAGAGAAGAATGGGAAAGGATTTGTTCTATGGCAAGATGGTCTCAAAGGCCTTAAAAAAAAAAAATATCAGAATAATAATAATGATAGTGTTCGAGCGTGAACAGTACATTTATAGTGATACAATTTTTTTACCAGTTCTTTTGGGTAATCAGTTGCGATTTGCTCGCAAACGAGCAACACGTTTGTTTCCGCTCTCGAGTGTCGTAGTACACGTACCTACGTGGTGTTATTTTCAGTAATTCATATATCATCAAAAATGCTAACTACGCAGAAAAGACATTGGTAATTGAGTGTTTACATTGTATACTTAAGTAAGTCACATGCAGAGACGATGCTAGGATTTTCGGGGCCCCTGTTAAAATAAATAACAGTCTATGTGTAGTCTTCTGAATGCTAAAGACCCTTTTGCACCCCCTAGTAGCACCAATGATATTCGTTCTATGTAGTAGCCTGTAGGACGATTAGTCGTTGTTTTATATTACGCCTCGGAGCACTATAGTAATTCGTATCAATTATACATATTATTAAATATATTCGATCTTATTATATTATTTACCTTTAGCTTCTGTGTATCTGGTGTACTTCAACAGGTTATGGGCCCAGTATAGTAAGGTAAATAACAATAAAGTCGTGTATGTTTGATACAATAATTATTGATTTACGAATCGCGTGTTTGTGCACAGAGTACAGACAGTGCACAGCAACAATAATTCGCGAAGTATAGTGCAGTGCAGTGTGCAGAAAGAAATAAGAGCAACTCAGGAAATGCGTTGGTTGGTGTACAATCAAAGGACATCAAAATCAGCGATTCAGGTTCTAGCGATCACATGACCAACAAAAGAGAACGGTTCAGTAACTATTAGTCATTTGAAGTTCAGTTACCAGTACGTATTGGTGATGGCAAACATATCATGGAAATTGGCAAAGGAAATATAAATGTTCAAGCGAAAATCGGTAATAAATGGGTTGACAGTCATTTGTCAAACGTTTTACATACACCTGATCTTAAGGTAAATTTGTTTTCGTGTGGAGTGTGCCTTGACAAAGGTATAAAAAATGATGACAGACAGTGATGGATGTACATTTAAAAGGGATAATCAAATAGTTGCTATTGGAGTTCGTGAGAATAAAATGGGGGAATGCACCTAGATTCACGATTAAATTGTAAACATTATGTTCGCCAGAAAAATCTTCAAAGTTCAAATTAAACTGAAATTAAGGAAACTTTATTGGCTGATCGGTACACTTAGAATTAGATCTCGCATGCAAACTTCTTTTTTATGTAGTGATAATTAAACTAATATGGACCTATGGAACACAGCTGTGGGACTGTGCCAGTAAGTCCAATTTTGATATTATCCAACGTTGCCAAAACATTGCTCTCCATACTATTGTCGTAGCATACCGGTACGATATAGAAATTACATTATTCACCAAGGTTTGATGATGATCGTCCAGAACGAGATTACCAAGTTTGCTTGAAAACACGAGAAAAGACTAGATAAACACAACAATCCACTAGCAATTCAACTACTTGATAATTCTCAAGACATTAAGGCATAAGGCATCTCAAACGCCGAAGACCATATGACTTAGTATAAATTATTAGACAAGGCTGGGACCTCTCCATTGGGAGTGATAACCCAAACATGTTTTTTGTTTATATCTACTAAATATTTATTCATTAATTTATTAATATTAATATTTAATATTTATGTACACCACTTAAATGTATTGTTAAAGATCATCGATCGTTATAATAAAAAAGTCTTCGGGTGGTTTTAATTAAAAAAAAAAAATTTCTTTCGGTAAAATATTTTCAAACTATTTATTATGCATTGGCCTAATGGTTGTAATACAGACGTAGTATTAGGATGTAAAAAGTACACTTTAATATCATTAAAAGTCGAGTTAAATTGTGTATAGTACAAATGTACAATTATCAATAAAAAGTAAGATTTTTCTTTTCTTGGAGACCACTTTTTTAATCTAATTTCATCAATCACAAATTTAAAATTTCAGACATCATCCAGAAAAAATAACTGCCTTGATAAACTATTTTTAGTACTAAATTTTGATAAGAAAATTCGAGATATCGAAAACTTATCAAATTAATTTTCAAGTTAACAAGATTATTTAAACATTAAGTGTTATTTGAAAGGAAATTTGAATTATTCGAGATACCGAACATTTCGAGTTATCAAGGCGCACATACGGAGGTGCCAAGGTGTGCTTAGCACCCACATCTAATTTTAAGCTAAAAATATTGTTTAAAGTGTAAATTTGCGTTTATAAAAATAAGTTAATACCAGTCGTTAACGCATTATGCCACAGACATACATACTTCATATATATAATATATATACAGTATTGGTTATTTGGGTTTGAGATGTTATTAATTTATTATGTTAGGTACTTATTTGTAATCATGGCTTAAGATAAACAGGTTACGAAACTACCCAGACTATACAACAGAAATGATGCCCAAAGATTCTCGTATATAAACAGCTGATGGCCTGTGTGAGAATAGTAGCTAGCGTTCCTGCGGCCAAAAACAATTTTATTTATTATCAATGTTATCTTTAAACATTTACCCGCGAATTTTCATTATTGGATAATGGATATTTGGCATGACAAATTATATATTATTTGTCATGATGTTTGGGATTTAGGATAAAGATTACAAAAATTAATCTGCAGGTACTTAGCTCGACAACTGTGCAAAAAATCTAAGTGTGAAGTATGTATAAAAAATTTAAAGAGTGATGGTAATTTAGGTATGGAATCAGAGTTGGTAAATTTAAAAAGTAAAGGATTTCTAACTCATCCTAGTGGTAATTTATATAAAATATTAAAAGTATTGGAAACTTGCTTTTGTAAACATGCAAGTGCTGGTGATGTCTTTGAAAATACTTACAATTAATTTTTTCTTCATGTGACAAGCCTAACATTCTCATGTTTAATTCATAAATATGAAATCATTACAGATATCTTCACAATATACATAACAATGCGTATGAGGCAATTTACATACGTTGAAAATCAAAAATCAAATAAAATTAATAGAGCCAAAAAGAAACTTTCAAAACTTGTATCCAGTTAGGTTAATAAATATTTAAAATAAATGTTTTATATTATCATTTATACGTGTTATATTTATATATTTTAATTGTTTATTTATGTAAAACATAAAAAAAAATCTTAAAATAATGTGTTGTTTACTGGGTAAGTTAAAACTAAAATACATGGCAAAATCAAAAAGTATCATGGAAAATTATAAATAAGGCTAAATAGTACTGCATGGAGCGCTGGGTATCATACTCGCTGGTATCCGAGAATTGGTTACGTACTAGTATGGTGCAATCTAGATTTACTAATCTTTCATCTTTGTATATAGAAAGAGAACTAACGAATGGATTAAAAAATGAAAATATCATTGACAAATTTGCAAAAGAAATCTAGAAAATTAGATTTATTATAATCTCTTTCTAATTTGTTAATTGTTTCAGTTTTTATATTTATAAATGTGCAATATATTAAATAATAAAAATTTGTTGTTAACTGATTTCATATATTAAAGTTATGTATTCAGTGTTGGTTATAATATATAAGACAGAAAAAACATTGTTTATTGAAAACCAATTATATTAAAAATTATATTTTGTTTTGTTTTATTTTTTTTTAAATTTAATTATTTCTAATTTTATTTGAAAATAATAATGTATATTTTGTATAATATTAATCGCACGGGGAGGGGGGGGGGTGAAACCCCCACGGGTCACTTTAAGGTAAAACATTTTATTACTCCCTAGTTTAAGACTTAATATGCACCTATAGTCGACTGTAATATATTATGGTGCAATTTTATGCTACACAGCAATTTATTATCTCCATTTTACCAAATGCATAACAGCAAATTTAAGCTCAGCAGATCACGTTAAGCTGCTTTAGTTTAAAAATTAGTGTGAGCCATGTGACATTGTGACCTATCATGAGACTTGATGTTAAAAACATTATCTGTGTTTGTATGTGGGTTTAAGCATTTTATGCTTTCTCTTTCTGACCTATGTTAAACATAAACAAAACGTATTTATGCCGAACCTTTTTTTTTCTATGTTTTTAAGTAATCTTAGAGTAAAATCACCCATTAAAAAGAGATAGAATATAATATTTTTGAGGAAATGACACAATATTGATTATCCTTTATATTGTTATTTGATTTTGTATTCAGATTTCAAAATAAACAAAATTATGTTGTAAATTAAAATAAATATTTAAATTTTTTCGAGACAATATCAAGACAAATCGATATTATATCCCTCAACAATATTATTATCCATCATTTTTGTGATTGAAGCACATAAATATTGTTAAAAATTGTTTTATGTTTATTTTCCAGTAATTGATTATTAATGGTAATTAATAAATAAATACATTTATCCTCAAAAATGTAAAATAAACTTTATACAATTCTAAGCAATTAAAGTGATTACTGAAAAGCTGGGTTGAAGTATAATTTATATATATTTGAGTTTGATTAATACAAAATCGGCATATTATATGAGTTTAATGAAATGAATACTCAATAAAACAATCTCATTAAGTTCTAAGAAAACATGTATTTTCCTGTACATATTTCTTATATGAATACATTTTATCTGCACATTAAAATAATTTGGAGTAGTAACTACAAATGAAAATTTAAAAATTTAATCTATATGATATTGATGAGACAATATTTGTTTTATTATTTTCAATCTAAATTTCTGCCATCCTTCCTTTATGTAACAGTCTTCGGAGGATTGAATATGACATCCAAACTTTTAATTTCATCTGTAACAATTATTAGTACAAGTTAATAATACTGTTTACTTCAAGCGAGGTTTGAAGTTTAAGTTTTGTAGGTAAATAGTATCATACATCTTAGTGAGGTAATTAATAGGATATATTATATTGTAGTAGTTGTCTAAGAGTAATAGTATTACTCATCAAATCATCCACGGAAAAGATACTGAATGTTAAGAATACATTTTAATAATATGTTTATAATAATAATTAGGTGTAGTAGAAATTAATTTGTTGTCAGTTATTAAATAATAATTTTTAGATAGTATGATCAGATGACAAAAGTATTAAAAGTCCATGTTAGATAWAGCTAGGAGTTTCAATTATATACATGTCTGTACAAGAAAAAATAATAATTGCTCAAAAGTATAAAACTTTTAAGTAAATATTAAAAGGCACTCGCTAGATCTTCAACAACCATAATATACACTGAAAGTGCTATAGTTGTGATTCTCCCAATATACCTGAACTGCTGATTTTCTATTAAGTAATAATTTACAGTACATTCTTGCAATAGCTTTAGGGTCATTTGATGTTAACCTGGCAGTCAGCCCAAAGCTACTTTAAATCAAAGGTTAAGCAAATATTTGTAAAATATTTAATTATAATTAGACCTACTAATTTTGTTATGTATTATAAACTATATATTAGTATTATTAGGTATAACCAATTGTGGTAATTAATATTAATTAATAATCACCTTCAACAAATTTCTTCTTTTCTGCAGCAATCTTGGCTTCTCTTTCAGCAATCTTTTTATGACGGATTTCCTTTGTTTTGTCTTCTTTCTTTTGAAGATAACTATGTCTAGTAGCTCCATATGTTACACCTAACAACAAGAAGCTCCATCGGCCAAACTAAATAAAAATAATAAATATTAAAATAAAATATTAATATAATTTGTAGTTATTAAAATATATATACAACCAACAAAACTCAAACATTAGAAAAAACCAGGTAAAGCTAGTTTTTACTGGTTGAATAATATTAATTATTATTATACTATTTATTTTCATAAGGTATACCAACTGTTATGCCACATGGCATATTTTATAGGTAATAAATTACTTTAAGTTTTCTTAATGTATTTCCATATTGGGTGTTTCAAATTTCAATATAACATACATTAAACTATTTCTAAACTTTAATAGTTTGGGCATACAAGGGTTTTTGAAAGATGATTACTGAAAAAAATATAGTATGTAATAGTAGGTGTAATAATAGTCCATTGTCTGTGAATAAATAATAATTGACTAACTGTTTTAAATTAATATATATATTTTTTTATAAATAGTTTAAATAAATATCAGTAATTTGTTAATTTATAGTTTAAATGTTTGAACAAAAAATTTAGGTATGTTAATAAATAAATGTATTACATAGGTAATATCATATAATTAACTATATAAGAAACTAACTTATTATTATTCATTAAAATAATGCCTTATTTAACTATTTGAGTAGTAGATTTTGGACTTCCTAGGTTTAAGTAACCTGCATAGATAAAAATATCAGTCATTATAGTTCTTACTTCCGATTATTAGGAATATAATTATTTAGTATTAGGTTACTTAGGTAATATATAATTCTAACAACTTTGAATTACAAAATATGTTACATAAGAATTTCCTAAGATCTAATAAGGCTTAAAAATATTAACATATCTATAAAACATAAATACAGATGAAAGCTTAATACCAGATGCTAAGGTACTTGCCCCTTAGTATATAATGAGATACTAGCAGACTAGGGTAGACTATTTAAAACACTTCAGACTTTTGAAAGATATATCATTCTATACCATAAATTTGTAGAAAAACAACCAAAACATAATTTGAAGTATATCAATAAACTTAATCCTAACCAGTTATTATAAAAAAAATATACATACCATAACATTTATCAATAATATTAGATAATGTCGAGGATAATGTTTATTAAATTATATTTAAAAATATGAAAATTAATATTAATGACCTTCACTTGACATTAGAAGTATTGTTAATATATAAAAAAAAAACATTTTCAATACTTTACTCAAAATAAGTAGCTGCTTACATTCCGACAATTAGATATTTTTATTGAATAAAGTAATTTACCTACATTAAGATATTATTAATAATATTCATTAAACATTTAAGCTATAACTATACTCGGCATCATATCTTGAGAGATTTATAAGACCCCTACAACAAACAGTATTAAAAAAAGATAATATTCATGAATCAAATTCCAAACACATGCTCAACAAAAGAGATAATACCTACATAATTACATAAACTACATTTAATATTTAGTGAAATAAGAACATTTTACAGCAAACTGAATTTTTGGTCCAAGCATAGATACATTAAGAACATATGGCTATCATGTGAATTTTTCCAAATTATTTAACACTAAGAAATGTCACTGTTGATAAAAATGGAACAAATATAATTACACGGAAAAAATTACAATACCGAAACTGATAATAAGAATTGCATGTGCGAGTAAAATGATCAAATAAAAAACAATACCTATGAAGAGCTTTATCTACGCAGCCTAATGTACTCAGGTTTATACATTTTATTGGATGTAGTTGATCGAATTACTTAAAAACAGATCGCGTGTTTTTCAACATACACATAGGGTCAATTAAAGTAAGAAATGGCTGAACGGCATATTTTCGAGTAGGGCGGCTAATTGTCTGGGTAAATAAAAACACTTACCCTAATGAGTGGCGAAACATTGACAGGCGCTTTGAAGTCTCTCGGCATTTTGCAAATTTGTGTGAGACGTTAGCGTTGAAAAGTCAACAATCTTTTCACTGTGTACCAAAAAAAAAATAATTAAGCTTAGAAGTTTTAGACGACTTGGGACTTGGGTGAAAATCAGATGGCTGGCTATGAATATGAAAGAATTAAAAAATTAACACTCTCGGATCTGATAGTGTAGAAGAGATTTTCATCCGGGTGTACCAACCCAACTGTCACATGTTACCGTACAATATTATTATAATATTTATGAACTATAGATTTTGCGCCAAAAAAAATTATTTGAAAATCGTACTCGAGTTCCGTCGTAAATYATATTATTAGATTTATATAAGTCATCAGTTCGTCAGTATCATTCCTGGATCTCGTTAAAAGACAAATAAAAATGGAAGCGGCACTTGTTTTAAAAGCAATAGACACTTAAATAAATTGAATACTTTTTAAATGGTTATTGTGTACATGATTTTCAAAAAAAGTGTTTTATTACTGTTAACTATTTTTTTTTGTTTTAAAACATTATTTTTTAAATAGAAATATAGAATATAGATTAATACATTATTGTATTTATTGTATTATTATTATTATTATATTTATTTCAGCAAATCAGCATATTTTTTAATCTTTTTGAACATTTTATATTTTTATCGTTATTGATTTTCATATTTTTTCCTTTATGAATGACAATTTATGATATAATAAACGCTATACCAAGTACAATAAGTGCATACACTAATATACTGATATAGCCATAAAGGTTCCTATATAATATCAAATAAATAATCAAATAAATAGGTACATACTACATAATAATGAATATTCACAAAAACATGTCCAATTAAATTTTTTTTTCAATAATATTAATATAGCATATATTTTTCAACATAGCATATGCATTGTACATTTTTCATTTTTGAAACTTTTCTTTTTTTATGTAGCATATTTCTGAGGACTCTAGTTAACTTTTTTACAATCCTTTAGGTGATGGCTTATCTAATTCCCACAGAATTTACATTCTTGCTTGACAATTGAATAAAGGTAGTATTTAATATAGGCAAAACAATGAGTTTAAACTGATTTAAACAGTGACTAGGTATTACTTTTACTCTTAACCTAGTAAAACATAAAATCTATTTTAAATCATCAATCTGCAGAACAGTGGTCTGAAACATTTTTTAAGTTTTTCAAAGTTGGATTTAAAAAAAAAAATGTTCAAACGTTTATCATATTATGTTACTTGCAGAGTAGAACWTGCAATGTCGTAAACTCATAATCATACATTTATAATATTTTTTTTATAATTTCTTTAACCATGAGTTACATTAATTTATATTATATTAGGAAAATAAAAATATATTTATTGGGTARGTATAACCTAGTAAATAGTTATTATTTTTTTTTAGAAATATTTTAATTCTTAAAATTTTTTTAACAGTGTTCGAATGAAAATTACTTAATTTTATCCAAATTCTTATGTTAACTTAAAATAAAGAAAGTTCTCATGATGCCGTCACACGTTCAGCAATAATTTACAAAACCTCTGTTAGTTTCTAAAACACTTGAACTTGGGTAATAATGCGTTAAATTTATCATTTACAGAAATGGAAATAAACGAAAATGAATATTTTAAAGGATATTGTTTTCTTAGAAAACGCTGTACAGCACTTCAGCATACAACTCAATAAATCTATAAACCTAGGGRCTAGACACAAGTACTACCATATAGTACCATTAATTTTATAATATTATGGAAGTGCGGTAAATATACAATTTACCAATATTGAATATATTGTTATCTTTGTTAATAATAATAATAATATTATGTAAATAATTTTTATATACTATATAGGCATAGAACAGCATATATAATATATATATAGGTAACTTGTGTCTTGTGAATTTGTGATAAGAATATTCTTTTGTTGATTACCGAATACCGACTTATCAAATGTTTAAATTTAAAAACTTGTTCAGATAACTAACTGTTTAAATTCGACTAAACACAACTGATTAATGTTTAATTTTTATTAATTTAATCAACTCATATAATATTTATTAGTTTGTAGTTTTGTTTATTAGATAGTTATTTGCTGAAAATTATTCAAGTATTTCTCTCGACTGACTAACCTTTTTTGTTGTCAACTATGGGAATTTCTAGATGCTTTTTCGAAATACTTAAGTCTACTAATTATCATGTTGGTCACTTACCTAGAGAGTTATTTGCCAACGAAGAACAGCTTCCTGAGCTATTACCTATTTTCACAATTTTGACAAATAGTATCACACTAAAATCAAATTGTTTGACACCTAAGGAATTGGCGCTGTAAGTATAATCAATCATTAATTTCATGATGTATACAAATGTTTATAATAAAATGGTTAAATTTCTTAGTCCATACCTAATTAACTAACAAGTATGAATTTCTATTAAATCAATTTTTAAAACTTAAATTATTTAGAGATATTTGAACATAATATTCAAACGGGTATTCAAACATATTTTTAATTATTTTACAAATTTGCGAATATTGCTCTGTTGGACTAAAATATATTAAAATAAAATAATAATTATACAATAAACCTTATATTTTATTGTTATTTTTAAGTAATATCTAATTAAAAATATGTTTAGGTAAATTTGTTGCATAAATRTTCAATAGTCACTGGCTCCGAACCAATGCCAATAACCTAACCAAAAATGTTCAGTTAGGGCAACCATCCGACCTTTGAAAGTAGGGGGYGAGTCGTAGGTGGTTATGGTGGTTGTGAATAGGGGTAGGATATGATTGTGATGTATAAAAATAATTCATATAAGGAAAAATCAAATATAAATATTCCCGAATATCAAAAATCGATGCAAATWCTCGATTTAGTTAGGTGTCTTTGAGTGGGATGGGTATTAATTTTTATACTTTGCCCTACCTATAAAAATTGAGTTTGGGCCATTGTAAATATTTAATAGTATTTATTATCACTATCATTTCGGGTTCTTGAATTACTTAATTCATAATATATGTGCACTGAATTGTTGTAAATATTTAAAAATATTCTATATAAGTTAACATTTAACAGAGAAATTACAATACAATATTTATTTTATTCATTGTTTACATATGATGTTATATTTTAAGCAAATAGCATATTTGACAATTTTTTTTTTATAAGATACCTAGTAACGATAAACTGCTCATCACTTGTCTGCACATTTAAAAAAAAAAAAAACACAATTATGTGTCTAATACATAGGTGTAAAAAATAAACAAGTATATAGTAAAATTATTATACATATATGATATATAATTTTGTATAGAATATAGGTATGCTTAAAAACTCATTTTTACAAGTCTAGGCAAATGAGAGATAATTTCTAACTAGTTAAATATTTAAAATAAAATTTAACTAGTTATATAGTATAGTTAAATTACTTACAATAGATATTAATTTAGTTAAATTATAAGTTTGTCAATTTAAACATCTACTCGGTTATCAAAATTTTTAAAAAATGGAAATACTAAAAAAAACATAATTTTATTCAGTGGCATATACATGGCAGATATTTTAAATAGGTGAGGTTGTATAAAAAATGTATATGCATATGTATACATAGCAAAATATTTTTTAGGTTTTATTAATTTTTATACAACTACCTACCTATACCAATACTAAAATATTACTAAGTGAAGTTTGAATAGGCATCTCTCTTCTTATTTGTATGCATAGGCCATAGTTATTATAAATATATAGGTATGAACAAGGAATGATTAAAAAAAATTTCACTTCTATATTTACTGCAAAATATAACTATATTCTATTCCAAAAGAGAATAATCATATTCTTATATACAAATGACGGTTGCAAAAATTCCAAGACCTTACTTAACTAGTCCATTTTTCACAAAAGCCATGTATAACCTTTTATGACTAGCTGATAAACCTGTTGGTAAGAGATTAGCAATTATCAATGAAAATTGATAGGCTGATTCAATAATTCTCTTTTAGAATAGATAATTAAGTTACTCAAACAAAATACTAGACAAAGTAAATTGTTGAGATATTATCTATCAACAAAAATTGCTTTTAATTTTCTAAATTAATTTGTTAAGGCCCAGCACTGCACTTTAAGCAAAAAAGYAATTTCAAAAAATATAGACCTTCCCACCCAGACAAAAAAGGGCTCCACTTAAAAAAATCCTTTCTTAAAAAAGTTCTTTCGCTTTTATTATGAAATTCTAGGTTTATCTATTTTTATTTTTACAATTTATTAGTTTTGTCTTTGGTAGCTGCTTGAATCATTTAAAATTCGAAAATATATTTATAAAAAAAAACATTGAAATAACTAAAAAATAAGCATTTTTGTTTTTCAAATTTGAAATCATAGTAAATTTACATCAATTTTTGTAGCTAGATTGTATGTTAAGCTTAATAAAATGAGCCATTGCTATAGGTACCAAATTCTGCTTATTGTTGAATAAAATTGACAGTGTATTACTTTTTTTTTTAGTTACTCTTCCATATCTTCGAAACATGATCATTTTTCTTCTTTAGAAAAAGTATCTAAAGCCATTGATCAATTTTATGATGAAAATACTAAAGATGCAGTAATATGCACTTCCGATCTAGAAACATTAGAAGGAAAAATTTTAAAATCTGAACAAGAATTAAATGATTTAAAAGCATATGGAACATTATACGAGTAAGTAAAATAGAATTATAAATTATTTAGTTGATCAGTTTTATCTGTATGCTTGAACTTTATGCACCAAATGTTTAGAATTACCATGTGATTGGAACATTATATTTCAAAATGGGACACACTTCAATGATGTGTTCTGCCTTATATTCTAAGTGTTTAGAGAGTGATTGAATAAACCTCCTCTCAAATAATTTCAGTTTAATAGGCCATTTCTCCATATATTAAAAAAAAAATTTTAATATGAAATTTTTATTTTTTTTTAAAGAAAACAAGTCAGGAATATTTCCTAACCATTTTTTTTTTTTTTTTTAATTATAAATTATATCTTATTTAGAAATTTTAGCTATTTGAAGTTATATTTTTTACTTAATTTGTTTTAAATATAAGGTTAATTATTTATTATTATAGAAGTACTTTTTATTGTTTCAAATAGATATTAGGTATTTTTTTAAATTGTTGTTAATTGATAGATAATTGATATGGATTTTTGTAAAATTTTGTATTTATAATACTTTTTATTKCTTCAAATAGCAAATGATAAAAAAATTATTTCTATAATTTATTATATTTATGGAAATTTGGAAATTTATGTTAAGAATAAATTAAACATTGTACATGTAAATAGATTAATTTTAGATTATAATAAATTATAATTAAAGAGGCAAAATGTTCTATTAAGTAGAATATAGTCTAGAGGAAATTATTCATGGTTTTTATTAGATAAAAGTGGTTGTGTATAGATTTAAACTGTATTCTTTCCAGCATGCCTGTTATGGCACGTTGAAAATTTCTAGGTGTTCAGATATCTATGTACTTATGAAATTTAATACTATGTTAATTACCATACATTTGTTCCCGATACAATAAAAAAATTGGAAATTTGACAAATACAGTTTTTAAATATACCTATATTTCGTGAACTAAAAAAGACAATCATGATCATTTTTGACAATATTTAAGAATGGAGTCTTCAGTAGATGATATTCAATCAGTTGTAGTATATTAAAAGAAAAAAAAACATAACAATTTAAATTTTGCCATAAACATTGCATTTATTATATTATTAATATTTAATTATTATAATAATATTGGAAAATTATAGGTTTCCTATACATCATTACTTCTTATTCATCACGTGCATTGACCCATTTTACTATTATAAAGAGTCATACATTTTGAATTTTAGAAACTTATTTCATTGATGATAGTAAATTTGTTTCATTCTTCCAGTTCTAAATGGGAGTATACGAGGAAAATTACAATTAACTACACTAAGTTAATGACTATAATGTATCAGAAAAATTGTGAACTCAAACCAGCTTAATCAATGCTAAAAAATCTAATAATAATTTWAAAAAAAACTATATCAAAATTAAATATTTGTAAAAATAAAATGCAAGATTTTTACTTAAAAAAAAATTTTAATGATTTTTTTTTATTTAAATGAACCAGGTATACAGAAAGATTTTTAAAACAATCATATTATAAAGATAGTGTTTAAAAGTCATATTTTTAACATTTCAAATTAAAGAAAGAGTTCAATAAACTTTAAATTAATTATAAAATTATGTTCTAGCTTTATAAAGTTAGGTATATAGTTAATAAATATAATAATATTAGATTAAATTATAATTTTAAATTGCATGCATTTGATTTAATTACTAAATAAGGTTGATTGGGCCTCTTAACAAAAGTCCTGCCTGGGCCCTTGAGTGCCCAGTCTTATACTGCTTGAACTTTATTTATTTTACTTAATTATAGCTTATTATGAGTTTTATTCTATAACCAATGGTGATGCTTGTTATTTTACTATTTAATCATTATTCCCATGACTCAGAATAGTGTGTATGTGAATTTTTATATGAGATATAGATATTGGAGATAATATCAAAATTTAGGGGTTTAGGGTGGTAAATAGTAGGAAGTTGCAAATATAGTACCTAGGCGCAAAATGTCTTAGTCCACTCCTGAATATTAATGATCAAGAACTTCCATGGGGGTGAGAGGAAAATGAGGGCAGTTGTCCTAGGTGTGTGCATAGGCGTATAGAGTGTGCCTGGTTACCCCTTGATATTTTCTTATTGAGCCTTTAAAATTGCTACTCTTGATATCCAACATACACAGTACATGTGCACTAAAATGTTTTAATTTAATGTTATTGGTATTATATCTGTTTATATACTTAAACCTGGGCCATGTCAGGATGCTCCATCTAGTAGTATAATTTTAGTGGATTTAACGCTAATTGACATACAAAAGTTGCAATTTAATACTGCAGAATAATATACTTAAACATTTATGGTTTTGAGTAAGGTTGGTATGATGTTTCAAGTGCATTATCAAAACTAAGACATCATGGTCCTATTGTATTTTAATGCATTGTAACAATTAGTATTAAATCTAATTTAGTTTCAAGAATTTTTTAATAAAACATTTTAATTTATAGAAAAAAAATACAATTGATGGATGATGAAATTTCTTTGCTCAAACAAAAAGAAAATATGGTCAGCTCATCTTGTTTTAAAACTGAAAATAATTTGGATGCAGTTATGAAGAAGTTTACA